CAGTGCGTATGTATGTAACAATGTAGATTTGTATGCTTGGATGTCTGCGTATGTGTGTATGTGTGCGTGTGTAGCGTGCATACGAAATGGCCGGTTGCATCTGCAACAGCAACAATAGAACACAGGATGCTGATGTCATACAGAAATTAAATGATTTATGTACATGTTTAAATACACACATACAAACATCTGTATGTATATGTAAATATCTATAAGTAGAGCAAGCCATTAAAAATCAAAATTAACGTAAATGAAATTTAAATAAATGAATACATAAGTTGAAAACTAATAAATCATCATAACAGGAATATGTAAATGTATAATGAATATATGTATCGATATACATTTATTAAATTATAAGGATTGCAAGGTTTCTGCTATTATACAAAAATTATATGTATAATATTTTAGCAAATAAATACTCCGATTTCTATACATATAATTTAAAGCATTTACTTGATGCCGCCTTTGGATCCTTCTCGATTGCTTTAGAAAGAGCTTTCTAATCACTTATAAAGCAGCTGCTGAAGTCACATGCCCACGCACCTACATATGTACATAAGCATGCAAGCAGCAATACAAATGCAAATGCAACACACCTAAACATTTGCCGTTAAATGCTTGGCACACGTAATTTATATGTTAAAAAAAGGAAAAGAAAATAGAAAAGAAAAGTAGCTTTAAAACCACTGTGCGGTGACGAAGCACCGACCACTGAGTGTATGTATGTGTGGTGATGGAGGGAGATGTGGGTTTGGTGAGTTAAGCAAGACGCGAAAGCACAATCGCCCGCATTCTCTCGGCTGCCTTTCGTGTCCGTATCTATAAATGTATGTATGTATGTTTGCGTGCACATGCCTGTATTTGTGTGCGCCTGTGGTGAGCTTAGGCTTGCCTTGGCTAAGGCGAATTGTTGCGTGCGACGCCGACGCGAACAGAGTCCTGCTGTCGCTGCTGCTGTTGCCACTGCTGCTTTTTGTGAGCTTTTTTTCCTTGATCTGCCTTTGTATGGGTGCACGCAACACTAAAAGTCAATTGACCCGAAACTGTTGTATATGTAAATATGTACACATATACATACATACACTATGTATATGTAAACAACGAATGCACCAGTGCTGGCAGATTTTCTTTTTTTTTTTGTATTTTAAATTCACTTACAGGGACATAGACAAGTACATATTTACATTTGTATGTATTTATGTATGTACGATCATAGAATATGTACTTTTTTTGCTTATTCCTTAGATTCGTACAAATCACACATAAAAATCTGTGTTGCCTTTACTAATGTATTTCTTTTTTGTTTTGCCTAAACATACAAGTGTAAAAATGTGTGTGTATGTGTACGGAATGTATTTCTTAAATGAATTCAGTACTTTTAGTTGGTGGTCGTTGTTGTTGTAGTAGTTGCTCCCGCTATTATTAGCGCAATGTGAGTACAAAAACAAAAGACAGCAACAACAACAGCAGTCGCCGTTTCGTATTTTTTTGTTCTCTGTTGTATTTGATATTCCGCAATTGTTGCCGCTGCCGTTATTCATGCTGCTGCTGCTGTTGTTGTTGGTGGTGGTGGTGGTGGTGGTGCGCTGTGTCATGCTTTACTTTTCAATCTATTTATGCTTTATTTTCATTTTCATTTTTCTTTCAATTATTTTACTCTCACAATATTTCGCTCTCTCTCGCTCTCTGTTAAGCTCCCACGCATGAATTCATTAAGCGGCAGCGGCTACTGCACCATGCACTCTACATTTGCCGTTAGTGTCACCAATTGTCATAAGAGCGCAAATTGCTAATTGTTGTAATATACATGTAATTAACTTATGTGCAATTTTCACCTACAAGCTGGCAAAGAACACATTTTTTTTATTTTAAATGCGATTTGTATGAAATGCAATGTATAACTGTTATGACCTGTACAGTAAAATAAGCTTGACTAACCTCCATTCTTTGCGTGCGTAAACTAAGAGAACAAAGAACAATTGAAAGAAGAAGAATGAAAGCTGGAACTTTACACTTTGAACTTTTTAAAATGTGCAATTTCTAAAATGTCAATCAGTTTATGAAAGACAAACTCATAATGAAATAAGACTAATAATTAATTCATTTGATGGATAATGTTTGATTTGTCCTTTAATGACCTTTTCATCATTATTTATGAATATTTATTTAAACTATTAACATTAACCTATTTAACTAGAGACTCGATACAGAAATAATATAGCAATTCTCTAGTCAGTTTAATGACATTACAATCAATATCAGCAGATTCATTCTATATAGCATATATATTATATTTATATTTGAATAGTTTGTCAATTATCAGATAATCAGCGCAAACATCTAGTAGAACTGATTGTAAATTAATGGAAAACCATTAAGAATTTTCTCAAAATATTCGAATTTTTATTACTTAGTTCCAGATAATACTCTATAATTAACCAAACCTTTAGAAATCAAGTTTTAATAAAATTGAGATATATTAAGCAGAAATCAGGGAACAATTAAAAGTTATATTTATAGAAATTTTAAGCTTGTTAACGTAATTATATAGTACTATGCTATTGGTATAGCTAGAAGAGGGAGATGGAGAGAGAGAGGGAGCGGGAATATGCCCATAGTATAATTAAGAAACCCAAGTTTAACTTTCGATTATTAGGTTCATAACCTTGAATATGGCAAAATGTTGACAATCGATATTTATCGTTTTATATATTAAATTGTTTATTAGACTTTAACTTATTATATGAAGCAAATAAGAAGCTCGAAAATCGCGAAATGCAGACAATCGATATTTATCAATTATATAGCATATTATTATATAAATTTTGAATTTCAATAATCGAATCTTACGAAAAAAATGTCGGAAATATCGAAACATTGTCAACCAATAATTATCGATTTACGCTCAAAATTTGGCACAGACTAAACCAACTTCAGTAAAAAGTCAAGTATTCGAAATAAAGTTAACCCGGCTCTATTGGCATTATATTTAGCTTTCAGATACCATGTAATTCGCATTGATTTTTCATAGACATTTTATACTACGAACGCACTCAATGCTAACGACAATTCTAATTTAATTTTCTTTTTTTGTAGAGCTTTCATCAAATCGAATTTTAGATTTTTGAGTTAGTTTTGAGTTTTTGAAAGTTGATTCCAAGCCACTAATTCCACGTACATATTTATGCACATACATAAGTGTATGCATGTCTATATATATATATATATATATATATTTATATATATATATATATATATATATGTGTGTGTGTACATGTGTGTGTTTGCATGTTTGAATTACGCGCAATTAAAAACAAAAAAATTCATTTAGCTAACCGGGTCATCAGCTTGCGTTGATGGGGGCCAGCGATTGTGTGTCGCATTAGCGATTAAAGCTAGCGGGAATTATAAAAATGCAACACATCGAATGCCATTTCCTCGAGAAAAACAGAAAAAAAAAAGAAGAAAACCTTGAAGAGATGTCCATGCAAAAACACACACACACATACAGAAGAGCGCGCGCGACCCTGAGTGGAGTTTGAAGTCGAGGCTGTACCGCTCAAGGACAGCCAGTGAGATAACTCCTTGCAGCATGCATCAATTTTCTTTTTGTTTTCATTTTTTCCATTTTTTTTTTTTTTTGAATGTTTTGAGTTGCGCTTGACAACAACAACAAAAAAAAAGCGAATAGAAAAAGAAAACGAAAAAACAAAACTAGTGCACACGCTGCGACGCTGGCAGCGTTAGCGACTGCGCAGCAACAGCGATAACAACGTCAGCTAAAAAAAGTTATGCTCCATCAGCCTCCTGCCAGCAGGCCACCCAGTCAGCTATCCTCCCCAACTTCTATAGCATGAAAATTTTCGTTGTTGCTTTGCTTGGTGTCCTGTCCCGCACACACACACACGCACACGACCACATAAACATACACACACTCGCATACAAAACGTCGCAGTCGCAAGCACCGTAATTTACGTGCGGCTCTGCTCTCTTTCACTGAAAATCTCTTGCTTGTTTGCACACACACACATATGAACGAGCATATACTCGTGCACAAATACATAAGCTTTTCGTCTTTATGAATTTTACTGTTATTCTGGAATCTCTCTTGCCTATCGCCTTTGATGTATACAGCATCTACAGTTAATTTTTTTTTGGTTACATTTGTTATTTATTTTTATTTCAAAACACACACACACACACTCGAAAGAGAGGTAAGAATTTAAAAAATTTCGCATGATTTATTTGTAGAAACGTTGAATAATTAAATACATACATATTTATATGTAACGGTATGCTAACTTCAAATGCATACATACATGCATACATATTTATGTGTATATGCACGCATACATATATGCATATAGATTTATATATATACTTATATATATAAATATATATGTATGTATGAAATGGGCACACTGTTATTTCTCACTCGTTGCACTTTTTGGCGTATGTGGTTTGGGGCGGGGGCGCGTGTATCTTTCCGTTTTTATGTTCTGCCATTTGGCCAATTGGAAAATCGAAATGAAAAAGGAATGTAAAAAACTAACACCGCGGTCATTGAGCCGATTTCTTTTTTGATTTTTGTTATTATGCTTTTCTTTTAGATATATAATAAATACGACGAGTATGTTCATCATTTACATACATGTACTTATGTGGGAGCAAAAAAAAAACAAAAAAAAATACGTTTTCATACACACACGCACAGCAGAGCACGTCTTAGTTCAGTCATATTGGAATTATACATATGTACTTCGCAGTATGTATGCATATGTGTGTGTATGTGTGTGTGTGTGTTTCCAATTGGCGTTTGTTGCTAGTCCGTTGCTCAGCTTTGAGGCTGCTGAGAATTTGGTGCTTGCTGAGCCGTCGCAGCAGCGCTTGGCGTCGCCCCCTCTATGTACATATATGTTTTGTGTGTGGACTTTATTAATAACGCACAGTTTCAGAAGAAAAAAAAACAACAAAAAAACATTTTGCTTGCAATTTACCTTTTCAATATTATTGCTACACTTTTTGTTCACACAACGACGCAGACGCACGATAAATTGATTCGAAGCAAATTTCTAACGCGCTCCCGCATACACGTCCGGCTGAAGTTTCAACGCAAAAGTAGTGCTGCAGAAACAGACGAAGCCACTATCGATATTGTTGATGTGGTCGATTTTAATTCGATAAGAAATAGCACCGATAGCTCATCGATTTCTAAAATCTCAACTCTAATGCAAGTTAAAATTCTGCGTCAGCTAATTCATTATTCCATTACTTAGCTGCACAAAAGAATTTATCGGCGCAATGGTAAAATAGTATTTTATGTTAACATTAAGAACCGTTGATATGGAGTACGTCGAAATGTTACGGTAAGGGGTTAAGTGGTAACGAAATAGTCAACGTAACTGCGTATAGTTGCTACGTAAACGCAAATGGGAGCATCATGTGTGCAAAAGTGAGTACTTGCGAGCTAACGCAATGTAAACCAAATGTTAAGCGCTATCGGCATAGAAAATGTTAAGTCGAACTCGTTCACAACAGAGCGACACAGTGGCAAAGTGACGATGTTTGCGGTGAATGGGGGGTGAGAAAAACGTACAAAGTCAGAGCAGAAAGCAGAGTGGGAGAAGGTAACAAAATTAAAAAGTTGAAATTCATATATAAAACGGAATATATTTCGTATTTGTGTTAAAATTTAGTCTTTTATCGCTTTCGCAACGCACAGTTCAAATTAGTGAAAATATTATAAATCGTATATGCGCCCGCTGCATTCCCCTCCCCAAATTCACACAAAGCAACACCAGCAATAGCAACAACAACAACAACAACAGTAATAGCAACAACGGCAACAACAACAGCTAAAAATTGACCATGAACAACGGATTCAGCACCGGCGAGGAGGACTCGCGAGGCGGCCACACGGACCAAACATGCTGCCTGATCGACGATATGGAGAGATGCCGCAATCAGGCCGGCTACGCCAGCTACAGCAAGCGGATACAGAAGACGGTCGCACAGAAGCGACTCAAGCTGAGCAGCGATCCAAGTGCGCAGCACATTTATATCTGCGACTATCACAAGGAGCGCATCCAGTCGGTGCGAACGAAGCGGCGACGCAAGGACAGTGAAGATGACAGCAACGAAACGGACACCGATTTGCCAAACTTCCCCGATCTGTACCAGCTGCATGTGTCCACGCTGCGTCGCTACAAACGCCATTTCAAGGTGCAGACACGGCAGGGCATGAAGCGTGCCCAGTTAGCGGATGTGAGTGATCGATCCAAATAATAATAATATAAAAAAAAAAAAAAACAAAACTGTAGATATATAGAGAAATAATGCTTATTGCCTTTCAGACTATTATGAAGCACTTTAAGACAATACCCATAAAGGAGGAATCCGAGATCATAACGTACTTCGTGTATATGGTCAAAATGGGCTCCAATAAATTGGACCAGAAGAACGGCATTGGCAATGATACCACTTGAACGCAACTCTGTCAGCTGCCGCGGTATCGCTATCGCGCTCGTTATCGTTATCGCTATCGTTATTAACGCCGGCTGCTGAATAACAGCGCTAGCTGTCCCTCTCACACTCACACTCAGTCACAGTCACACAAACTATGCGTACAGTGAAATCGAATCAGCCGCAATTGAAACAAAACTATATTTTCTGCTTTCGTTTCGCTGATTATTATTTTTACCATTTCGGTCGATTCATTTTCAAAATTGTATATTTGCCATACACACAAATGTTGCATGAGGCTCGTGCCGCAGGTTCGGCCCTGTTCATTGAGTGGTAAAAATGTTCGTCATTTATGGCGCTTTAGAGTAAAGCAATAATTAGGATTTTTTATAAAGAATTTTACAATTTTACAACTTTACAATTTTTGAGACTTAAATGAAATTAGAAATACGAAAATGTTCTTCAACTGCGGCTATTTAGCTTCACTGTACTTCGTTGCGCTGTCTATTAACCGAATGCCCCAAATATCCCTATACACACACACACTTACCTAGACTCTGACACACACACAGGAACAACAAAACACTACTGGTGCTCCCAAAATAGTATAAAAGGAAAAATGTTGCAATGAAAGAAACATAAGAAAAAGTTTGAATAGTAATAGTAGCGTTCGTTGTTAATAGCTCTTTATACAAAAAAAAAAAAAAAAGAAAAAAACAAACAAAAAAAAGAAACACAAACAAATTTTACATAGTTATTAATGCTATGTATACCAAGGATGACCCAGTTTTGGGGCCAAAAAAAAAAAAAAAAAAAAAAAAAAAAAAAAAAAAAAAAAAGCAACTAACACATTTACCTAAGCCTTTCATTAAATGCTGTTTGTCAACAATTTAGCCAAAAGCAATCAAATAAAATTCTAAATCTGCCAACGTCAAATGGAAATGAAAATGAATAATAAGAACCACAATCAAGAACTTCATAACATTCTACGTAAAAATTACAAATCGTAAAAAAAACAACAAAAATGAAAAGAAAAGAAAACGAGAAAAAAGAAGGAAAAACCTGTTTAATAATATACAATTATTAAATTAATTATAATTAAATTGTAAATGTAATTTTAACATATTGAATTTTAAGAACTTATTTCTAATGTAAAAACTAAACAAAAAAGGAAACAGAAAAAGAAACATTTTTGAAATTTGATCAAAATCTGCCGTCTTCGGCAGATCAAATATGCTCGTTCGTTCGCAAAGCCCTTGCAGAATTGTTATATACATATATTCTACCAAAAGCAGCTATAGTTATAGATGATATAGAAGTAGTTCGATCTCTTCGGCTGTTGTTCCCTAAGAGCCTTAAAACTGCCTGACTATTTGGTACATAATTATAAACGAGATTGGTTATACGTTAATTGTCATCTGCAAGGGTCGAACACATGTGCGCGGCAATAAAAGAAAAATGTTTTTCATTTCATTTACAAATTGAAAGCACTTCGCGTTTTAATCGGGTAGCAATTAATAATAATGCATCTTAGTAGAAAATATACATGAGAATTTTGTTTTCAAAAATTAAACAAGTATTTTATTATTATTGGAATAGATATGTACAGAAAATCAAGTCTCAAAAAACGGCAAATGGGGGGGTTTCTGAGCTATGACTTGAATTTGAATGCGCGGGCTTTTTAAGTAATACCTTTTTTTTAATATTGTCTTTAGTTTTGCTAGATGTGAGTAATCGATATATATATCGTGTTATTAAGGAACCTCACGGAATGCAGTCACTCGTTTCTTTGGCACTATTGGTATTTTGTAAATTTAGTGATTATCGATATTGTTATATATATCGGTAAGCTTCCACATCTCTAGCTTAGTTCATTTTTTGTGGTGGTTAACATACAAATGTGCTGCGTGCTGCTTTTTAACTAGTTTCAAGCATATTTACATTTAACATCTAAATCGCTCCGACACAGTTGAGGCTATAAAGCATCTGGATCGTATCTTAATTGTCTCGCCGGAGCGTTGAAACGCCAAGAAAGACGGACTCGGCGCACACATTAACCAACGCTACATACAAAGACCCACACACACACACGAAGAAGCGTGCGTGCTGGTGTGTGTGCGTACGTGTGTGTGTATGTGTGTGTGTGTCAGTGCGTGCTGCTGTCGTCGTCGTTGTCGTTGCAAAGAGGAAGCAGCAACAGCAGCCAAAGGCGAACGACGGACGCGAAAAAGGAGTCCAAGAGCTCAAGAAGTTGTAGGGAACGGCAAAAGCGTTACCGGAACGCTGCAACAGCAAAGCATCAAATACATACAGCTCAATAATAATAATAATAACAGCAACAACAACAATAATAAGAAGCACACAACTAAGGTGTTGCCAGTGATCCCGTTCCCTCCATCCCACACACACAGACAATGCAGCAACAAGAATCCGGGGGCGAGGAGAGCTGGCTGGAGGAGCAATGCCATCGCGAAATCAACGGCCAGAACGATGAATACGAGCGCGAGTTTGTGCGTCAGCGCGACAACTATTTAAGCACCGTCTGGGGCGCATTCCAGGACTCGGCCACTGCAGTTGCACAGCTCTATCGCGGTAAGTGCCCCTAAATCCAGTTCATTCTTGTTGAAACGTACTCTTCCCTTTACGCTGATCCAAACCAATTTTGTTTATAGTACTGTGCTACATTTGTATTTGACTTTTTATATCGCAAACATTTATACAAGCATGAACATAACGTTAGTGTGTGTGTGTATGTGCATAAAAATAGTTTGGATGAGTATATTAATAGCGACCATGCAGCCTGCTTGCCTGCTGCCTGCCAGGCAGCGGCAGCAGCAGCAGCGACAACAACAACAAGTGCATGTATACAACAGGCCCGGCTTTTAAGCTCTATCCCCATGCTTGTGTTTGTTTGTGTATGTGTGAAAGTTAGCTGCTCTCGCAGGCATCATTCACACGCCTTAAAATTCTCCACATTTTCTATTCTCCACATATTCGTTTGCAATCTACGCATTATCAAACTGCAGCACAGCAAAAGGGCCTGTAATGGAATAGAGCCCATGCATGTTGATGTGTCTCTGTCGTGTGTTCGGTTTTTGGTGTTCCTCTTTGAATGGAGGAAAAACCGAACGAGGGGAAAGCAAAACGCAATAACATTTGCGCTGCGCAACGCAACGCAGCAAAAGCAGCATTTGATGGTCCTTAGAATTAATATGCTGCTCTGCAGATTTTCGACTTATTATTATTTTTGTTTAATGTAAATGTAATGTGTAAAATGTCTCTATGTATGTCGGTGTGTTTGTTTTAATATAGTGCGTCATTTACGAAAAAAAAAAAACAGCATTTGACAAACAGCTGTTTCGACAGTCGGTGCTGAGAGTGGAAGCTGCTGCTGCTGACGTCGCAGTCGCTGTCGCCGCCCTAGCGGCATATGTATTTCTATTCTGTCTCTTCTCTTCTTTCTCACTTCTAATGTTGTTGCTGTTGCTGCTGGCAAACAAAAGCAAGCTAGCTAAACCCAAACGTTTCTAATGCTCCTTATTTCCGTTTCTTTTGATTGCAATTTATTTTCTGGCTTCTGCTGCTATCCCGCTTGCACTCGCTCACTTGTCGTCCGCATTGTCGTCATTTGCTTTTCCCATATGCACTGCGGATCAATAATGGCAAGTTGCTTTTTGGTCCTTTTCACTCATGTCTTTAGTGCTGCAGCAGCAGGTGCTGCCCATTGCAAAAAGAGAAAGAGCGAAAACAAAAAGAAGAGAACAATTTCCCAAGGCGATCTTTGAGTTCGACTATTTGGTTATTTTCTTTGTCATTCGATATGCAGTAAACGAAATATGATGATCTAAAAACAAACAATTGAAAATTGTAATAACTTGCACATTTTTAAGTTGTGAATATATAAATATTTATATATATTATACATGTATATAAATGAGATAATTAATCATGGATTCCAACGAAATTAATACTGACATTTTGTTGTTGGTATTTTTGTTCGACTCTGCGAGAAGAATACCTTAAAAAAATACTTAAAAATTAAATAGCCCCTAGTAATAACTGAAACTAAAATATTATTTTAAGTTACATCGAAGAAATTGCTGTAGAAATCAATTAAACTATTTAGAGTATTTAAAACATAAATAAAAAAAAATAAATTTAATAGTGATACGAATATTACGTACTTCACTTAACATAATTCCCATTAATAATGCAGTTTCTTGGCTTTTCATTTGCAGAGCGCTCTTCCAACACATTTTCTTCAGAGACTGGGGCGCTCTGGCTGCCCTTTCAGACCGCAGCTGGCACTGTGACAACACTCTACAAAGGTGAGATAAACCTTGTCAACTGGCAACTGATTTGGCTGTTGCTGCCCTCGCGGTCTGGTTGCAGTTGGCAAATCACCTTTGATATCTCATTTATTTGCCAGAATATGTAACTATATTGTTATTTGATGTATTTTAGAATCATGTGATGGTCTCAAACGCACCAGCGACGCTGCCATACAATGCGGCTACCAAAGACGCACACGCGAATTGGCCGATTGGGCACGCAGCAAAAAACGACGCATGATACGGCGCGAGGATTTGCTGGCGTATTTAGCCGGAAAGCCGCTGCCAACTCAACCAACGAATCCACATGCCAATCGTCGGTGAGTCCGCCTTCTTGGGCTGTCGAGCATATCCTTTGAACTAATGCCTACTTTTTCCATCTCTCTTTATCGCGCTCTCTCTCTCTCTCTCTCTCTCTCGCTCGCTTCGTGTATGCGTGTGTACCACTGTACAGGTCGCCTAAGCCGGAGCATCACCAATGCGGCGGAGTGCATCATCATCAAGTGAACGGTAGCCCCAATAGCGTCACTGGCTCGGCGATAGGCTTTGCCAGCAACGGACTGAACATGATGCCACCCACAACGGCCGGCGGTCAGCCAACGCATTTGCTTAACGCCGCCGGTGGTCAGGCGGCGACAGTGGGTGCCACAGGCGGCACGGGCGGCATCATCGGTGACGATCTGCACACTTTCAAGGAGGCCTTAGTTCTGCGTCCACGGTAATTATATTCGAACATACAGATCCTGCCTAGAGTATTGAATCGAATAAAGAATTGGTATTAGAATAGATCTCCAAACTCCATAAGGATACTTCTAGATATTCTAAGTGAGTATCGACAGGCGAGTCGCTAAGCCAGGCGTGCATTGGCTTAAGATCCATGATTCAGTTGAAGCTCATCATATATAAACCATTCCGAATCCTGGGATCTTGTTAATCGATCGATTGATTTAAATGATCGATAAATCGCTCAGTTTCCATGATATCCGATATTATAAATGTTTGGTCTCGTATACTATACCGGGTATAGCAGAAACTCCATTGCTTTAGATGCTAGATCTTTCAAATTTGGAATCCAAGGCCAACAATATATAGTATATATTTGAAATATGGGGGGCGAGGTAAACAGATTTAAACTGTATCTTCTACAGTTTAAGAGCTTTATCTAAAACTATAGATCGAAAGGAAATGCGCACGCCCACTAGAGACGAGGCAACTCTTAATATATCCTCGCCCATAGAAAATTCGTATAGCTATAGCTTTTAAATATTTGGAGAGCTTTCAAATTGAACAGTTAAATTCACTGCAAACTCCCTCTTGAGACTTAGGCAGTTACATGCAGCGACTACATATAGGATGCCATATAGTTGTGCTTAATCAGCGTTTCATACAGATGGAAGGATAAGGCTTTAAGGAGATAAGGCCACACACGCCGCTTTAGTTGGCTTTTGAGCAGCTTGAACCTGGCTTAGAGTGAACAGTAAATTGCAATTGCGCTTGCCGGCTCGATTCAGCTTGATTGATGTGTATCTAACTCAAAACTCATATCCAAATATATATATATGTATATATATACATACTAATGGTGATTGTCTTCTCGTTCACTACAGCGGACCGGAGCTATTTGCATTTGTTGCCAACGAAATCGCGCGCCATTGCAAGCGTCCCGGCAGTCCCATCGACGACAAAATGGACATTTGCCATTACAGCAGTAAACGTCAGCGCTTTATGTAATCAGCATCCAGCGGCAATCAGTAGAGGGTGTACATGCACACACACATACACCACACACACACACACATACTCACACACATACACTCGTACACATAGACAGAAGAATGCGGCAAAACAAAATGCAAGAACACAATTCAGGGGAGCAGGGGAGAACAAATAACTGCTAAGCCTAGCAGTTACCATTACACACAGTGTGTGCGTGCGTGTGTGTGTGTCTGTGTGTGTGCGTGTGTATGGGTGTCTGTGTGTGTACGTGTGTGCATGACTGGCAGTTAGCCTCGAGATAGGATAAATAGTTTCAGTACTATAATAATGTTAAATTTTGTTTATATTTATGCCGTAAAGTTCTTGTTACTGCGGTTTGCTGCCACAAGCACGGACAGACACACACACACACATAGACACACGCACACACACACAGAAACATACACATACACCGAGCAGCATAAGTTAACTTTAGTTAGTTATTAAGCGTAAAAAGCTTTTGTTGTAAGTTTTCAAGTCAAGAGGTGGTCTAAAAAAATATAAATATAGCGAAAATATTGTGTTAACACACACACAAGTTATATGTAGCGTAGTATAACACATACACACATACAGACACTTTCAAAACTGTTATACGTAGACTTAAACGAGAAACGCATAAGAAAAAAACAGGCCCTAGCCAGGTCCACTCGTGTTACCAATCGAACTATGTATGCACATTTTGAAACGGTTACGTAGCAAATGTTGTAATATATATATATATATATATATGATATATATATACATATATAATGAAATAAATAAATATATATATATGTATATTTAACAAATCTACAGATACTGTTATAAGCCAAAAGTTGTAATATATAAGTGTATAAGAAGAAGAGAAACATAAACAAAGAGCAAAGTGTAGAAGACGCAAACCGTTTTGAAAGCAAACCTAATGTATGTACGTACTAAAACCTTCGCTATTTATATATAAACAATATATATATATGCATATATATAACTTGTTCATCTAAATAATAGAGTTCACAACATCATCGAAACGCTTCCTAAATTCTTAACACTCTCACACACCCACTCAAAGGCAAACTGGAAAATATGCTAAATTAAAATCGAACTAACAAAATTGCAAGTAAAATTATTAACATATAGAAATGATGATACGATTCTAAAAGATATTTGATCTTGGCGGTAAATTCTCCGCATTTTGTAGTTAGCCAGATAAAATACATCTATTTATTCGTATAGAACCCGCCCCCCATCTCTATGTATATGAATAGTAAACGATGATCCAACTTGAGAATGTAAAAAAAAAAACAAAAACAACAAAAAACAGCAACAAAAACACGTACTAAATTACATGTATTAAAGCAAAGTCCTATGAAATATTTGAGTTGTAATAAATTTAACAAATATGCTTAACAAATATACCTTTAAAACAAAGCAAATGAAAAGAAAAGAAAAAATAATAAAAAAGCAATTAAAAGAAGAAAAAAATTATTATACATGAATAAGAAGAAGAACACTATAAGTTAAATAAAAAGATTAAAACTTAAAAAACAAATACAACTTACTGAAATTTCGTATATGTATTTTTTAATAATTAACAGCGCTGCAAAGCAAGACATTGTAAATTTAAGTCGATAGCTAAGTTTATTTTAATTGATTTTGAAACACAAACCCTGTAGCATAGGACAGAAAGAGGCAGCACTAGATTACCCAATTGGAATAGACTCATATTTTCCAATTGGAAAGTTCTTTTCTGCATTTCCCTGGGAAATTATGAAACCAATCAACTCAGCTTAAAAGGGAAACTCAGGAGTTGTACATTGAAATTCATTGCTATTTTTTATTTTCATATTCATTTATATTATATATATATTTTTTTTTGTTTTTGTTTTTTTTTTTTTATTTTGTATAGTTATATTAATAGATGTGTACATATATTTTATTATTTTGTATAACTGCACAGCTGGCAATTAATTACATATACATTAATTCGGGGCGGGGCGGGGGAATTAATTAACTAATACAAAACAAGACGATTGCAATGTGGCGAGGCTGTTAAACTGTGCTGGGCCCCATGAGCAGTGACTGTCCAACTGTAACAGAACTGCAAGCATAAAATTTGTTTTTGTTTTGCTTTTGCTTTTGCTTTGTTTGTTTACGGTTAACAGAATAAAAGCTATGCATTTCGGAATTAGTACAACTGTGCCAGTTACAGCTATGTATAAATATTATTTGAACAGAATTCGTTAGATCGCAACTAGTATTTTATCAACAGCAACAAAATGAATGCAGCAACAGTTTGAAATGCTGCGCAGCAAAACACAATTTTATTTTATTTTTATTTTTGTTTGTTTGTTTTTTTTTTAACTAGAAATATCAACAAAATTGTTAAAACGATTTTCTGCATTTTTTGTTTGTTGCAATTTCTAGCACAATTAAATAAATGTAGTTATAGTTGTTATTTTTCTTTTTCTTTCTTCATTTTAATTCTATTTTTCATTTCATTTTAGACGTGTGTTTGTTTGTTTGTGTGGTAGTAAATGTGTGTGTTTGTGTGTATGTAAAACAATGTGAAGTGAAAAATATAATTTGTTAAGAAATTGATAATCGACGGTTTAACGATAACGATAACGATACTTTTTGAACTAATTACAATGCCTTGCCCTAAACGGAATGTTTTAGTGCTACATTTCCAACTCGAACAGAAACTGTTCACTCTCTTTCTTTTTTCCCTCTCTCTCACCTTCCGTTCACTGCTCTTGCGGTACATTTCTCAAAAGAAACGCTTAAGTTAAACTCTTTGAAAATTGTACGTGAGAACAGTTCGTTTTACATATGCAAATATACATATATGTATATAATGCTCAATATGTAAAAGGAAGAAAATATATATATAAATTTAACGTTAACGGACTGTATGTAAATGTATTATATATATAAATATATATATACATATATATATATATATATATCAATGCTTGTGTGTATGTGACGTCCATTTCAATAGCGAGTTTAAGTTGTGTGTTTGTGTGTGTGTGTGTGGGTGTGCGTGTGTATGGGTGTACAAAAAAAAAGAAGAAGCATTTAATAGCCTTTACACAAAACCGGTGCGTGACGCATTGCGCTGGTCCCAGCCTAAAACTGAACCCAATTGGCATTCGCTGAGTTCTGTTGACCTTGATTGCCCCTAAAAACGAACGCAATAGAAGAAAATTAGTTGAACGAATTAGAATGCATTGTGATTCCAGCTTACCCTGCGGATGCGTAATCGGTCCATTCCGTGCCAGCGCCGCCACCGCTTGTCCTATGTGCTGGCGATGCGGCCGGACTTTGGCGCAGTGTCGCTGCGGCCGGCGCGGCCGGTGGTGGTGCGATCTTGGCTAAGCCACCGGGTGGCGGTGGTAGCACGCCACCAGTACTTTTGCCCTTTCCAGTGCGCGAGGTGCCCTCCGAGCCATCCTTTTTCTGTAAGCAAAGCACAAGATGAGCTATGCTTCAAGATTCTCTAACGACGCAGAGATTAGAACAAAACTAAGGAGCTACGTGGTATCTTCTAGTCGGCCGTTATCGTTATTGTTCTTTCAGAAACTTACCGTAATGCGCATGTTGATCTTAATGGTTTCGCCCTCCTTGAAGCCCAGATCGAGCTCCTGTTTGGGTTCGGTTTTCTCCTTTTCGATTTGCTCCTGATTTTTAACCCATTTGAAGTGATCCTGTAACGCCACATTCAAATCGAACGAATCGGAGCGATCGCCAAAGCCCAGACCTAAGAACGCCGATCGTCCATTATCGTCCTGGACGCGTATGACAAAGTAGCGTGAGCTGTCGGAAACCGCTTCGATGGCCACGCCGGGATATGTATCGATGGGGCAATTGGCAAACAGAGCACCGCTCGTCTTATCCTCCAGCTTTAGTATGCAGGCGGTGCCCTTGGCCACCAAGCGCATTCGTCCAGTCCAGGTGGGCTCTTTGAGGTTCCAGTCCGCTGCTCTGCGTGTTTTAAAACGGTTTTTTTTTTCATTCAGTTAATAAACATTGTTTACTAGATGGCATGTGCATCTATATGTACGTATGTGTGCGAGCTCTTTAACTCTCGCTGTGTGTGTGTATTTTGTATGTTCTGCTGTGTGAACGCTTTAAGCGAAAACAAAGAAAGTCAACAAAAGTAACAACAAAAACAATTACACATGTACAAAAGCTTTGGCCACATACACCAACACACACACATACATATACAAGTACATATATATATATATATATAGATAGACGAGCGCGCACGCAAATGCATATACATACAAACATTTCACTTGCAAGTGAAATGTACAGCTATTAGGAGAAACTGCAAGGCGAGCGCAAAAAAACATAATGAAACTGCATATAAAAACCATAAAAACTAAAAAAAAAAATCAATTGGAATTGAACTTCAAAGGAGGCAACAGTCAACAACAACATTCATGGTTTTTTCTTAACCTTGGCTATTGCTTTTGCTGTGGCTCTTTGCCACATATTTCAATCTGATTTCCGTGCCTTGCGCATTTTTAACATAATTTATGCATTTCTTACGAGTCTACACAGACACACACAATATGTATACACAGTGTTGTGCGTGTGTGGTATGTGGGGGCGTCTCTGCATGAAATCACGAAACTTTCAATTGCACCACAAAATAGCAACAACAACTAGGCAAAATTTTTGTGTTTTTTTGTGCAGCAGAATTTCTTGTATAGTTGATGGTATCTCACCTGTATCCTCTGTTGCTGGCGCGAGGCGGTATTTTGTATATAAATACCTCGGGCTTTACAATTAACACACTTTCATATTCCATGTTTATTTGAATTAATACTATTGTTTATTATCCTGCCTACGAGTTCCGTTTATAACTTTAAGCTTACAACTACATATACTTCGGAGCAATAAGACAATCGATGCCAAATATCGATAATGTAGTTAGTCGGAGGACCTCCACAATAATGTGTTGTGAGATAAGAAATCGATTTTTACTTAGCTATCGTAAGTAAAAAACGTGCAAATATGTCGAAGATGACTTCTTTTGTTTACTTTTCGTATGCGTATTTCATTTCCGGCAGCAGAGATTAGCTCATGAAGCATTTTTTTAAATACACGCAATTTAATGATGCTAAAACGCACGCGCGGCACGATATCGATGGTTTGTGGAACATCGATTACCCTTCACAATGAATGTTTGGGAATTTAAATATCATATGGTACGATAGAAATAATGAGTCAAATTAATGCTTTTGATGTAGTTTTCTTTCAGTTGAGTCTAATATTATTGCACCGTTTATAAAATGTACGCTATTGAAAGATATCGATAATGCACTCTCAGTACGATTAAAAGAAACAGTGCAGAATCGATGTCAACTACCGATGAATCTTTAAATGGTGTAACCCATCGTCAACCCTTTGAGATAATAATAACAGCTGTGCAGAGTCGATACAAATTAGTTCAATTACAGTATTTTTAAATTTTTTTAAGACAGTTCATCACGAAAATTCATTTGCATTTTATTTCAATTCAACTGTTCTCATTTATCTATATTTAGCCACAAGTAAACTTTGAAATATAATAAAATAGTGAAAACAAACAATTATCAAAAATACTACACACAAGTATCGAAAGTAAATTAAATTTTCTGCAAATATCAGTGTTACAATCAAATGTTTTACTTTATCGATAAGTAATATCGACATCACTAGACAGCACGTTGCTTAACTGAAATCTTGTTTTATGATAAAGCGAAATGCCACCGGGTTTGCAAATCACAAGCGACAGCGACTTGGATGTGGTATTGGAGGATTTTAGGATCAAACAGGCGCGCCGCGACAGCACTGGTCCAAAATACAGTTGCAGCATAAGCGGATGCGATGCAAGCTTCAAACGTCTGGACCAATTAGATCGCCATGAATACCACCATACCGGCATTGTAAGTAAAAAGTTCCCAAAATACTTGTCGAGTTTGTTACTGAACATCTCTTAATCTAGAAAAAGCACGCTTGTAGCTACGAGGGCTGCGACAAGAGTTATTCAATAGTCACCCATTTGAAGCGACATCTCCGTAGCACACATGAACGCCCTGCGGCACTACAGAAAACAGTCAAATGCTCTCTGCCAGAGTGCAACAAAATGTTCACATCGACGAGCAACATGAGTCGACACGTGCGCGAGGCACATGAGTGTCCGCGCGAATACGAATGCAGCTATTGCTCGGCTAAGTTCAGACAAAAGATGAAGCTGCGTCGCCACGAGATTACACAGCATACACAGGCGTATCCATTTCGTTGTGAGAAATGTACACGCGGTTTTTATCAGCAATGGCAGCAGGAGAGTCACCAGCGTAGCTGCAAACTTTATGCATGCCCCCAATGCGAACAGCAGTTTGACAAATGGACGCTCTACACAAAACATTGCCGCGAAACGTTGCACGGTCGCGACCGCATCAAGTGTGAGCATTGCGACAAGAGTTACGATAAGCCAAGCGATCTGAGTGCACATATCGCTGCCAAGCACCCAACAGATGCTGAATCAACGTTTTCATGCACCGAGCCTGGCTGCAATCGGAGCTATTCGTATGAGCGCAATTTACGGCAGCATGTTCTTACCAGCCACACGGGCAGACGCTTTGAATGTCTCGCCGTTGATTGTCAGCGCTGTTTTAGCAGCGCCCAGAATCTCAGCAAACATTTGATGCGATATCACACAGCTAAAGAGCGCAAGCCAGCTAAAAACAAACTATCTTCAAGCCCAACTCCAAAAACAGCCCCAGTGTCATCGCGGAAGCGTCGGCGTGATGCGGGCAAGCCAGCCCGGTCGCATCTATCCAAATTGGCTTGCCTGGTGCTCGACAAAAAAGTGGATAAGGAGGTGCGCCTGCGTCAGCCATTGGCACTCACGAGCGTGGCCGAGGAGCTGCAGAATCAGCAGCAGAAGGAAAAACAAATGGATCAAGATGATGAAGATGACGAACAAGACGGCACAGAAGAGCAAATTAAGCCATAATGAGTCAAAAACTTAATTTAAATAAAAAGCAAGACTTATTATATATAAATATATTTAAGAGTCTACCTTACAGTAGAATTCCTTTTATGCTTGGCACATTCGATTATAAAAAACTTTGTTTCGTTCATAATTTATATTTTACTGCATAAGCTTTTATTTATTGGCATGCTAAGAAATACGTTCTTAATCAGACGCATTAAATTTAAAAGTTGGCGTTTCTGGTCCATTCGCTAATAGATTATTTAAATAAGAAACTTAATCTTAACATTCTTTAATTTCCAACAGTTTCGTATGCATATAACAAGTGCATTCTAGTCAGGAAATTAGTTATTGAATAAATGAGGCTCTTGATGTACTATATGCGTTTTCTGGACAGGAATATGACACTCATATAGATGTATATACCAAAACACCAGATTCTAAGGTATTCTGTACGTGAAGAAATATTTTAAGATTGAGTAAATTTAATTTATATTTTATTTCCAAAGAAAATATTGAATAATCATAATAATTAAGACAATTTGAAAAAATAAAAAATGTATATCATTGATCTATATTTGATATTCATTCGATAGTTACATCGATTTCTCTCGTAATTGTAAAAGTTTTATTGTTCAACTTTTCATATGATATTCACATTTCATTGCATATTCACTGATTAATAGATCGTTTAAGTTCAGCCGTGTTCTGTGTACAAAATCAAATCAAATCTTAATAAGTAGTAAAAGTCAGTTTCATTTTCACTTTTATTAATAAAATAACGTTTTTGAAAACAACTTCAAATGCGTTTTATGTGGATGAGGCTGTGTATAAGGACGTATGCTGTGTGGGTGCGAGTATCTACAGTGAATTGATGATCTTCCGACTGCGCATCTGCTCCAACCAATGCTCCAATTGCTGTTGTGGTGTTTGTGGCTCAGGTAGGTAGTAATGCTGCGGTGGTTCGCCCTCCTCGAGCCGCAGAAAGTAGTGGCAGTGCTTGTACTCAACGCGTCCAAAGCGACCGCGCGCATGTCGTCGCAAACCCTTGAAGACACGTCCTTTGCCCACAAAGGACTCAGCTGGTGTACATAGATAGCACAGTAAACATAAATTATTTTAAGCCTATATTTAACGCGCTTATTCATTTACCAATCCACAAATTGCTTTTGTACTCAACATTATGCCGCTCAACGGCCATTTGCTGCGCCTCCAGTATCGTCTCCTTGACATCGGTGGCGCCTTTTTTGAGCACAAAATTCAGCTGCTTGAGCGCCTCATCTACGGACATGCCTCGCACAAAGGCCGCTATATACCACATTTTGTCCGGACTATACTTAATGTTGCTGCGCATATGGCATACATACTATAAATCAATTAGTTAACAATTTCAAAACTATTAAAGTTGACCAAACAAACAAAATTTAAGTTTTTTTTTACCGCCTTCCGTGGTTCCTCGCCCACTGCCTGTGGCGGATGCACAGTTTTGTTGTATTCCAGCCATTTGCGTGGTCCATAATTGTGTTTATTCCATTTGGTGCAAAGACCCCCAGAGGTAGCCGTGTGCACGCCGCAGCAGTCAACGTTTTGCGTGATCACAGGTGGCATGGCTAACAATTTGGCTGCGCTGGTTGCGGGGGCAGCTGCAAGCAACGGCGTTTGCACCGTAAGCTGCGCCATTTGCCTTATCATTTTGTGCATGGTGCTTCAGGTTTGTTTAATAAAAGTGTCAAATGAATTATAGCAATAAAAAAAGTTGAAGCACCATCGGTCGCGTAATCTGCCAGCAAACAGCTGTGTGGCTCTTGAGTCGACCACATATCGATATTTCGATAACTCTTTTTGTTGATAAGTGAATACTGCAACAATATAGACTTGAATATCTGCCATCTCTTGCTTTGATATCGATATGAAAATGGAATGCGCAAAATTGGAAATACCAAAATGAACGAAATATATGTTCATCAAATTCAAATTTTTAAATTTCAAATTGGCTTAAAGTATATATTGGTTGAACAAAATTAAATTAATTAACTTTAAACCTATAACTAAGTTGGTAATAGAAAACTATTATTCAAACTTCAAAAATAATAAATTGGTTCACGAACTTAATCGCTAGCCATGGCATCGGCTCGATCCAAACTATCGGGCTCACCAATCGGTTATTGTCGAGCCAGTGTAGTATTTGTTAAGGAGAGCTTACCAACAAATCACAATTTTTTTTGGGATTTTTTAGAATGATTTGAAACAATCACATTGCATCTTGCACGCCATATCCAGGCAGCAAAGTATCTTATTGCCGTCCGTGTAATATGGAAGATGTAACTCGTATTAAAAATGAGGCCGACGCCGATTACAGTAATCTGAAATGTGAAGAATCCCCATCCAAAGATGATGAGGACGCCTGTACTCCGCTTCGTGAAGAAGGCGAACAGTCGGCCATCGACCCGGCAGCGATCTCACCTATGGGCGCCGCCGGTTGGGAAAGCGAAGTTGATGATCAGGACGAGTTGCTGCCAGCGCCTCCACCACCGTCACTTGAGTGTGAGGTGGACATAAAGCGGAGCCCACAAAATGATTATTGCCAAACACCATTGAGAGTATCGACAACAGACGAACCTCAAAGTGAATCCGAACAAAATGCACATCTTTCGGATGCGCAGAATGATTACGTCGGAGATCTAATGGCGCTGGTTGCTCCGAAGGAAGAACGCAAAGAATTACAATTAGGTTTTCTTGATGTCCTTTCGGAGACGGACTTTGCAGGCGTCACAAATGGATCCTATAGCCAGATGAATCAACTGGATACAATGGATCTTGAGCCGCCAAATATTATAAATAGCGAAGAAGAGCGGGAATTACAAGCCCGCATCGAGCAGCGGCAAAAGGAACTGGACCAATTAAAGCGCACAACTACCGAGAAAAGGAGGAAAAAACACAAGAAGGAAAAGAAACACGACAGCCATAAAAAGCGAAAGCGCAGTCGCAGCATTAGCCCCAGTTCTCAGAAAAGTCGAAAGGAGCGACGTTTGCTGGAAAGTGATCGAGCCAGTGGATCAAGAATAAGTTCCAAGTCCATCGTAAAACCGGAACCCGAGGAGCTAGACTTTGTGCCAGTGCGACCGGAGGAGAAGAGCATCAAAGTAATCAACATAAACAAACTAATGCAAAGAGCAACAGAGCCGACGACTCAACGAACAGTTCAGGAAAGGCGTCAGCTAGGCTTGGAGCGGGCGCAGAGTGTGCTGAATCTAATGCGTCTTAAGGCGGCAAAAGCACCGGAGACCGAGTTCCTGGTGGTCAATACCATTAAGAAACTGCCCAGCCTTGCGGCATACATGAAAAGTGATATATTTGAGAATCCCTCGCCGCTGTGCAACAATTTCAATGTTAGATATAAGTTCAACTCGACATCGGCGTCGAACATTAATTTGAACAAATGGGGCTTGGAGCCGCTGCCAGATGCGACCAGAGCGTTGTTGCGTCTAACCGGCATTGATGCGATGCGCTTGATGGAGCTGCAACGGAATACAAAGATGTCCCTGCACAAGCTCAGATCTACGCAACAGGCAGAGAACGGGAAATGCAGCAGGGAAGAGGACGACTCGCTATCGACCGGTCTCTACAAGAGTGTGTCCACCCAGACGGATGCGCGAATCACCAACCAGAGCCGGGACGTTGGCGTTCAGGCCATGCCAGCATCGTACCAGGGCGTCTATTGGCTAAATCCCCGTTTCGATGATACGGACCTAACGCAACAGCAAACGAACGTCATGCTGGCATTGAAGGAGCTCAGCGCATCGAGTCCCAGCTCAACCTGCTGGGCCGATCGACTATTTCGGGAACTGCGCACTGCCTTGGCGATCAAGCGCGCTGAAGTTAAAGAACTGAGCCAACATTAAGCTCAAGGATTACCAAAGAACAATCACTGAAAGTGCTTTGCCTATTGACCAAATATCATTCTATGAGAACCATCGAATTTAAAGTTAATTGAACAAAAGTTTTAATAAATAGATATATAACTAATTATGTTTAACAATAAATACATTTTCGCCATTAATTATTTCTCTATTAATATATTTAAAAAAACGAAAACAAAATTCAATAAAAAAAAAACATACTCTAAATAAATGATATTTAATATTAAATATTTATACAAATCTAACTTGCCTTCTAAATAAAACCAAAACTAATTTGTTGATTGTTCTCCCTAGTGATCTAATTTGTTAAAGATAAAATCGAAAGGTTCATGAAGTTGCTAGTTCTGGTTGGAAGACGCCAATTGGGAAATTATGATTTTGAAAATAACTATCGATAACAGAATGTGGTAGCATTTATCAACACTTCGCATTTGTCCGACGTTGTCTGGCCACACCGTTAGGTCCACGTAGAAAACAAACGGACGACGTTGTCGACGTGCATATATTTATTTAAGATTTAAACATACAGCGAGATGCAATAAACAAAGATCAATAGAGAGGACCACCGGACTGGCAGGCGCAGAGGAAGTGACTCCGTGGCGCTGACACTGACAACGGCTTCTTAATCGAGCAACTACAATATATACACATATATTTAAATATGTTGGGTGGTAAACGCACAAGTTCCCGTCATGTTGCCGTCGTGTTACTGATGTGCCTCTTCTGGTACGTGATCTCGTCTAGCAACAATGTCATTGGCAAAATGGTGCTCAACGAGTTCCCGTTCCCAATGACCGTCACCCTCATACAGCTATGCAGCATCACCCTATACAGTGGACCATTCTTTAATTTATGGCGAATACGCAAATACCAGGATATACCGCGCGCCTACTACATGCGACTAATTGTGCCACTGGCCATTGGCAAGCTACTTGCCTCGGTCACATCGCACATATCGCTGTGGAAGGTGCCCGTCTCCTACGCGCACACAGGTCAGCTAAGTACTTACACAACAATGAAATCATAACTACCTTCACACGTCACCAAAAGTTGATAACTGTTTTGTCTTCTTCTTCGTGCACATATGTAGTTAAAGCGACAATGCCGCTGTTTACCGTTGTTCTAACACGCGTCTTCTTTGGCGAGAAGCAACCCACACTAGTGTACCTGAGCCTGTTGCCCATCATAACTGGCGTGGCAGTTGCGACCGTAACGGAAATCTCATTTGATATGGTTGGTCTAATAAGTGCACTCATCTCAACAATGGGGTTTTCCCTCCAAAATATTTTCTCCAAAAAGGTAAGGCTCTCTAACATCGTCTGCTTTGACCTTCATTAACAATTCTCTATGCAGGTGCTCAAGGATACAGGCATACATCACCTCCGGCTGCTACATCTACTGGGCAAGCTATCCCTATTCATTTTCCTGCCATTCTGGCTCTACATGGACAGTTTAGCCGTTTTCCGGCATTCGGTCATTGTATGTCATTTAACTGTTTATCAATTTGGTTTGCGATTATTCTAATACAATATTTGCGTGGCTTGCAGAAAAATCTGGACTATAGATTGATTGCGCTGCTCTTCACCGACGGCGTGCTCAATTGGATGCAAAACATAATTGCCTTCAGCGTGCTGTCGCTCGTTACGCCGCTCACATATGCCGTCGCCAGCGCGTCAAAGCGCATATTCGTGATTGCCGTCTCGCTGTTGATATTGGGCAATCCGGTTACGTGGGTTAATTGTCTCGGCATGACGCTGGCTATCATCGGTGTGCTGTGCTATAATCGTGCCAAACAAATCTCAAAAGCCCGAGAGTTGCCGATGCAAACGCCCAACAGTCATGTAAAGTATACGCCGCTAAATGACAACTACTATCGCAGCTCCTTTAATGGCAACATAGGAAATGGTCTACACAAGATGCAGACAACGGGCTCGGCGAACGTACAAATGCCAATGACAATGCCGGTGAGCAGCAACAGCAACAGCTTGCTGGTAAACGGAAGTGGGATGCCAAGCGGGAGCACTACGCGCCTGTTATTCGTTTAGTTTTATAAGTAGTGAAATTGTATTGGAACCACCAGCTACAACATTCGCTTCAACCCGTCTCCACACGCCTCGTCTCGATCCGATCTGTAGTGCGTAGACGCACATTTTCAGGTGATAACATCTCTTATCAGACGGAGTTCGCTATCTACGGGCAATCCAACTAATTGAATAGTATTCCCGCATTCAAGATCACACAATCAAACAATATCTATGTGCTCTCTGCTCGTATGTCACATTTTGTTTGTAGTTTCCCTCCTGTTTCACTTTCTTCCCCCTTTTTTTTGAGACTGCTCCCATCCGGAGCCGTTTCATTTCTTAGTATATATTGTAAAAAAATTGTATGTATGATAAAAGTTAGTATGTGAGGCGGTGTGTAAATAAGTATATAATCGAGACTGAATCCGGAAAGGATTTGCCTCAATTGCCGCTGAAAGGAATTAATATTGTTTCCGCAGTTTGAATTTTGACTATGCCTTAAAACTGCATGTATTTACAAAATCGTAACGCACGCAATGCGTGCGTATTAAAAATTGTTGACCGTGTACATAGGCAATAAACACATTTATCTACTACGTACTGTGTAAACCAGTCCGTTTGGCTTTCACTTGGAACCGGCTTGGTGCTTATCCATCCCCTTACCCAATCCCAATCCCAATCCCATGGCAGTCAGTCAATCAACGTTGCGCATACTATGCGGGCAACAGCTTTATCCATTCGTTTACAACTTCTTTCTTATAGCCAATGCGTTTGAGCAACGCTTCCGAGCGCCAATTGTTGGACACGATCCATGCGGTGAGCGCCACCTCCTCCTTTTTGGCAATCAGTTTGGTCATAACGGCAGCCAATAGGCCACCAAGGCCACGACGCTCCGCCTTGGGTAGCACCTGTAGCATACTTTCCAAAAGAAAATGAAGCATTTTGCCAAGAGTCCATTAGACTTTGCCCAGCAACTTACCCCAGGCCAGAGAAATCATTCTGAAATATCCAGGCGATCAATTCGCCGGTGTCACTGCGACAGGCGCCCACTGTTCTATTGAACCTGATCAGTGCACGTATATATGCCAGGGATCCTTCGCCCTTATTCGGCCATATGGCGTGCACGGCTTCGGCATCCTCGTCGGTTAGCTGGCGCAGCTCAAAGTCCGATAGCAATTCGGGCACCGTTATCGCTTTTGCATCAGCATGTGGCAATACCATGCCGTAGCACTGACGTGATTGTATGCCCGAGGCGCCCTTCTTTACGGCAATCTCTTTGACGCGTGCACAATATTCTGGATCGACATTGGTCAGCAGTGCCCCCTTGGCCCATTGAATGAGCCGCGTCTGCTCCAGGCAGGCGAAGAGCTCCGCTCCAGCTGCTTGCCAGCTGTAGAAGGAGACACTCTGCACCACATCCTCATGCAGGCTCACGTACGTGCCGTACTGCCGGAAATCGCCAGTGCGATGTGTAAAGAAACGTTTGCGCAGCGATATGTAAGCCTGATCGCTTCGCGATACGCCCGCTACCTCTAGCTGGCGATCCCATTTACGCTGATTATACATCAGTAGATAATGAAAGTTGAGCGCTCCATATTTCGTCCTGTACAATGCCATCAGCTCATCCACTTCGCTGTCGCTGAGTGGACGCAATATATCCATATCCTTATCGCCCATTTTGCCCGATGCCCGCCGCTGATCACGCTTACAATGTTTAAAATTGTCTGGCTTCAGCTCCCGTTGGCGTAGTTTAATTCAGCGTGCAAACCAGAGGCAGATGGACACAGGAGCGGACTCACAGGCAAGCCAAACTATAAACAAAAATATATAAATAAGGTTCTCTTAAGAATATACTCATGCGACTAACATTTGAATACATTTCCCACGGCGTATTCGAGTTTGCACTTTGAGTGGATTTATGTGGATGAATCTTGGCTTAATTATGCCCAAAATCTAGTTCACTTCGCAACCTATTGATCCCATTAACTGTTCAGCTTTGTTTAGTTCTTACTTCTTTGTTGTTATTTACTATGTAAAATAAATGTATTGAATAAATATATTTTTATAAATGCATGTATATCACTTGCATGTATTTACCTCAGTCCGGCCCTGTAATCAAGCACTTGAGACTCTAAACTAACTAATTCAACTGATTAGATTTCCCGCACTACATATGAAGGGGCCAGTGACGTCGATGACGTTGCTTGAATGCAAATCGATATGTTAATTTCGATAGGTTCAATCGGTCGGTCGGCCGTTCGCTCGCTCGCCCGCCGATGACACAAAACTTAAATTCAATTCCGACGTCCAATAACAACTGCACAGGAAACGAGCTGAACCTAGCAACGCAGTGGCCTTTGTTTGTTTATAGTTTGAATTAGTTGAATCTAGTCTTCTACACAGACCTCATTAATATTTATACTATTTCGTAATTATGGTGCGCAGTAAGTGCAACAACAAAATTTGAATTCTTGTTTTTGTAATCGAACTTGCAACGTCTGCAGTTACCGAGGAGCTGGTGCGCAAAAAGTCGGAGCATAATGAGCGACTAATTAGCACGCTGGAGGAGCTGTCGCTGCACCAAGAGGATATCGAATGCATTGAGCACATACAGAACTGGTGTCGCGATCTTAAGATACTGCTGCTGCAGTCTAATCTCATAGCACGGCTAGAGAATCTGTTCAAGCTGAAGCGTCTCGAGTATCTCAATGTGGCAGTTAACAATATTGAGCGCATCGAAAACTTGGAAAGTCTCGAGTCGCTCAACAAGCTCGACCTGACGCTTAACTTCATTGGCGAGCTGACCAGCGTGGAGTCGCTAATTGGCAATTACAATTTACGCGAACTAATTCTGATTGGTAATCCGTGTGCCGACTATCCCCACTATCGTGAGTATGTGGTGGGCACCTTGCTGCAGCTGCAGAGCCTCGACTGCAAGGAGATATTGCCCACAGAGCGCCTGCAAGCGCAGCGTCTCGTGCAACAGCATCGAGCTGTTATCGTTCAGTGCCAGCTGGCACAGGCCATAGAACGGGATGAGCAACGGATACGCGTGGCCGAGCAGCAGAACGAATTGACTAAACAGTGCGCCGACATAGAGGACGAGGAAGAGCGTAGACGCATCTTCTGGAACACCAAGAGTGAGCACTGCCCGGAGGTACGCACCGAGATAGCACGTCAGCACAAGCTTGGCCGCGAAAAGCACGAACCGTCACCAAATCCATTGACAACAAATATGAAGCGAACGCCACATCTGTTTGCGCCCTGCGGACGACCCTACAACATCAACCAGGCCAAATTGCCGTTCAACTTCCAGGATGAGGCCGATCACTATAGTCTGCTATTGGAAGTCTACAAGTTTGTATTCACACCTTGACACATTGATGATGAAATGAATCTCGCCTTATACCATTTCAATAACAGGCATCTGGACACATCTCTGATTGATGTGGACGTACAGACAAACTATGTGCGTGTCACGGTCAAGGGGAAGATCTTTCAAATGGCCTACAGCGAGGAGGTCAAGCCGGATGACTCCGTTGTGCAGCGTTCCCAAATCACTGGGCATCTGCAGATCCTGCTCAAAAAGCTAAAGCCCAACGAGTTGCTCGCCGTCAAGTCCATGCATGCGCCGAAGAAAAGGTGAGTAACAGATCCAGATCCAAATCCAGGCAGAAATAATAAACACTCCACTCCCACTTGCAGTGCTCCTGCTGCAAAGGAACCGTGCGGTACAGTCGATATTGGCAATATTTGCGCTCCGCCCGATTTGCCCGACTTGATCTAGATGACGAGGCGAGACACAAGGCCTTATTTTTTTTTTATTTAAAAATTGTTTATTTAAATATTTTTTTTTTGTTTGTTTGTTTGGGGTTTTCTGTTTCGTTGCTGCGCCTCTCATATTCCTGCTGCCTTCTAGTGTTATAACTCTGCGCTGACCCAGCATAGTACCAGATGTCTATATATACATATATACATATACAAATGTATATATACATATATATATATATGCTTGCTTATATTGTATATGTAGTTACAATTCATGATGTACATTCGTGTCAGTGTCTGTGTGTATGTGTGTGTGTGTGAGGTGGATTTAAAAAAGATGATGCAAACGCATACTAAAAATTTAAATTATTGCTTTACGTTCACTAAGTTTGCTTTTTGTGATCTAAATGGGAATAATGATGCTAAGTTATAGAAACCGTTTGCCAAAAAATCCTCACTACGCTGGTATATATAAATATATTTATATATATATATATATATATATATGTTTGTATGTATGTATCAAAACGAGTTTTGGATTCTGATGTAAAAAAAAAGAACCGAAAATATTAAAAAATAAAAATAAATGTGGTACGCTTTTTTCTCTCCTGTATTTACACGCATTATCAAGAGCAGTATCGGTTTTATATATTATATATGTTAGCATTTGAAGTTTGAACAGTTTATTCTGAGCCAACGGAAAGGCGTCTCATCTAAAGGGGTTTCTCGTTTATTTCAGTCTCAGAGCGGCGCACTATAGTTTCGACCATAGATAATGGATTGTATTTATTTTTGTTTTGTTTTTTTTTTTAGGATCGGGGAGGAAGGCTAGTATTGTATTGTATTTTTGTTTTGCTTTTGCTTTGTTTTTTGCGTTCAGTGCTTACAAGTTTATACTGCGGGAGTAAGGATCGTACGATCATTCCTGGGCCTGGCTGTATTTCGTGAAGTTAATGGTATTCATATGCAGTCAATATTTTATATGTTCCTTTTGGTTTTTGTTTTTGTTTTTTTTTTTGGTTTTTTTTTTTTTTGGATAGCAACAATCTTGTATTCTCTCTCGCTCAATATAATATTTCGGTTTTTTTTTGTTTTAGTTGTATTTTAAATAGTAAGTATTGTATTTAGCTGTGGTTGTGCATTGTATTTTGTTTTTGTATTTTTTTTAGTTATTTTCTGTTGTCTAAATACAAGTATTTTGTTATTTTTTTTTTTACTTTGCATTTGCGTTTTTTGTTTGCTTAAGTCCTTTTGTTGTTTGTTTTGGTTTGTGGTTCCCATAGAAAACGTATAATAAAAAATGTGAACAAAAAATAAAAGACTTTTCGAAAAAAAAGCATTTTGCGTCTTTTTGGTTACATTTTCATCTGGTTTTTCTCTCTTTTGTTTCTGTTGTTTGTTGTCTGTTGTTCTTGTATGCGTGTAGTTGTTGTTTGTTTGTTGTTGTTTTTACTGCGGCTAGACACAAAAATGTTAACAACATTTTACATGTTTGAAAACGAGGTAGGACATTGTTTTTGTTTCGATCATCTTTTGTTTTTCTTTGTTGTTTTCTTCTTCTTCTGTGTATTTTTGTTTGTTATTTAAATAAAAAAAAACAATCTTATTAAAAGCAGATAATTCAATAAATATATCTAAGCGTCCGGATCAAGCGGTATCCATTTCAGCGTAACGTTGCGAAACGAGTCAAATAAATTACAAATAGCAATACATATTTTGGTTATACCTTGAGACTTATATATCATAACGTTATGTTCCAACTAAGCTAAGATGCTAAATGTGCCTGGCCCGGCCACAAGGAGCATTGAAGAACTAAAATCTAATAGAATTACCCGGCTGCTCCGCCCTATGCGTCACACATGTTTGTAGACCCACAGTCACAGACGACCAAACGCCAAAGATAGCTTGCGGTTGTGGGATACAAATCGACGTCCGAATATAAAGCTATATATAGATAAATATATATATATTTATATATATATAAATATATATATATATATATACATATTATATCAAATTAAAACGCGTTTCTTCCGCTGCGCCTACAAAACCTACAACTACATTACGTTCGTATCCGCATGTATATATATATATATATATATATATATATATATATATATGTGTGTGTGTTTGTCTTTGTGTGGTGTTAGTGTACTTCTGCTGCTGTTGTTTCGCCTGATTATGTTGTTGTTGGGTGCGTGTTGACGACTGTGACAGCAGCCAATTTCCTTACATCACAGTCACAGGCAGAGCAGTGTGGGTCGGAAAGGGACATGTGGCATGGGTGGTAAGAAAAAATTGACTCTTAGACCCGCAGGATCTCGCACGCTTTGTTATAGCAAATGGCTATCCAATCGGGTTGCGTGGCACCCCATTGTATTTGATTGACTTCGCCTTCAGCAGCTGTATAGGCTAAAATTGGATCCTCGATTGCGCGTGGCATTTGTTGTATATCCCAGATCAGTGCTTGGTGATCATCACCGGCAGTGCAAATGTGACAGGAACTGTAATCAAGGAAACAATATGTATTCTTCTCATCGGCTTTTTTGCAATTTTCAGTTGCTCACCTATGCGGCGCCCACGCAATACCGTTGACGCACGCTCTGTGATTGCTCAGTCTTGCAACAGGTGTACAAGGAACACGAACATCTAAAATAATAACTTCACATGAATCCATGGCAACTGTGGCTAAGTAATTCGGATCCTGTTTGTTCCAGGCTAAACGCAACAGGGCGGTATGTGCAGGATCCTAAGCAATGAATATATTTAATGATTTAAATATACATAAAAAATTTATTTACTGTGGCTTACCTCATAGATAATGGTCGAGTGCTCGAGATGACGCAAATCAAACATGCGCACTGAACCATCAGCACCAACAGAGGCAAACATATCCCGTCCTCCGCCGGCACGTGAAAATGCAATGTCATAGACCTCCTTGTCGTGTGCTATCAGCTGTGTCTTAACATGCCCAGCCACATAGACGCGAGCGTGTGGCTGCCCAGTTTCCAGTCCCCATATTGTGCACGTGGTGTCGATAGATGAGGTGCCAACCAAATTGGGATCTACCTCATTCCAGTCGAACGATGTAAGCGGCGCACAAAAATCACTATTTTTGTTATTATTTAACACGCACTCCAAATGGGTATCCGGTTCACCGGCGCGCCAAACCCGCAAATAATCACCGCTGGTGGCCAACAGATCGGGATAGATGCCTTTCGAGTCTGGTATCCACATGATTTTTGTTGTTGGATATGGATGGTCAAAGGTGCTGCAAATGAAGTTAAAAGTTATTATTAAGCTTTCTGCTGATGTCGATATAGTTAAGTCACAAATGTGACCCTCAAGCAGCATCATAAGCTATGTAACCAAAGACAATCTGTCTTCTATCCGACTTTGTTGTCTTAAGCTAATCTCAGACTTTCTATATGTACTTTCTAATACACAGATATTATGCAAATTTGCTTATAATTGAAACTATTCTATACTCAAATTAATTAGTTGATCAATTGTCTCATTTTGTCTAATCTCCCTCACCTTTTAGCACTAAATTCGCTGGTATCCTCGTCCAGGCTTATGATTTGCACTTTGTTGTTGTACTCCTCGATGAAGCTACCCAACGCAAGGCGGAAACGTTTGTCTGGCCGGACACTCCAGTTCATGGAGTACAATGGCCATGGCGCCAGGTATTTGTATATTTCCTTACGTTTCCCCGCGGTCGATGACATAACTGTAGGACATATAATGTTAAATAGGCAATAGTTAGAAGTCAGAAGTCAGAAGTAACACAACTTTTAGCAGAACTTACCTAAATATGTATGTGTGTGTGTTCGTTAGGGATATGAAGAATATCGAATGACAGAGTTCCTCTGCGCAATAAAAATGATCCAGTAACCGAACTTTTATACAAGGTTTCTCACAAAAGCTAGCTGGGTGGGCGGGCTGGCGGTTGATGGGTGGTAATAAGACAAACCTGCTAAAATTACGATGGCAATGCGGATGATGATAATGACGAGACAAATTGAAACTTCAGAAAATTAACAAAAAACCGCTGTGCCTTTTGGTTTACTGTACGCGGAAAGAGAAAATCGAGAATGAGATGTTATTGTTGTAAAAATCATTTCGTTTAAGTTCTCAATTGCAGTTTCATTTATTTTATTTGTTGTGTAGCTCACTTCATTTTGTGTGACGACTTGGCGGCGGCGCAGGCTAAAGTGGTGCCCACTTAGCCTTTTCCGGTTAGATTTAGCTATTAATATCCAGGTCCACAAAAATGTTTGTAAGCTATATTGTTATGGCGGTGATACGCAGTCTGGCTAAAAGATAATCGTTTAATAATCATGAGTATCGGCTTTTAACATTCTTATACATAATGTTGCTAATTAAGCTAACCATTTCATTAGCAATGTCAAAATTTTGATGCACATAAGTGTAAATAAAAGCAAATTTTGGCGAGATAGATTTTAGCTAATACAAAAGTTGGCAACACTGCATGTAATGCGACGCGACAATTTGCGGCTGCAGTGTATTATTCGTAATTAAGTAAACACGGCTTAACGCGCTGCATGAGCACTAACTTTAACAATAGCAGCTGTTTACTTAATTAAGTATTGATTTGCAATACAATTTCATTAATTTTTAAACAATATTTAAATACAAGAACTTTTCACACCTGAACAAAATTTTCTCTCAAAATGTATATACACGGCGGTGTTGCCACTTTTTCTGCTGTTTGTGATGGCCACTAAAGTCGATCATTTATGATTTGACTTATAGTACGATACCAAAACATTTATCGATACTCGTATGGATGCAACTCTAGATTTCAGTAGTTCGCTTGCAAAACTGACTCGCTCTTAAGTGAGTTCTGCGTGCTGTGGGCTGAAAATTGCATATAAAAGCCAATAATATAAGTTATTACCATGTAAAGAAGCTCAGTCAGTGCAATTTTTATGTATTTTTACGTGTGTGTGTGTGTCAAGAGCTGATACAATTAAACGTATACAAATTTTTTTTCAAACGTCGTGAGTAGATTGTGCCTGAATGATGAATTTATAAATAAATATATTGCCTGTTAAGGCGTTGTGCTTCCATAATTAAACGTATATATTAAAGTGTTTGAGTTCTTAAGCGAAATTCACAATCATAGTCGTCACTTTTCCACTTTCCATTTTTGAGAAAGATATTTCACTTTGCGTAATTCGTACGTTGCTTGCTTGGCCGCGTATATATACATACATATGTATATATGTATATATTTGTGTTCGTCGCCTTTTTGTGTGTGTGTGTGTTTAGTGTGTCGCTGTCGCCAATATCAATATTGCTATTTCATTTGCACATATGGCGCTTATAGGCCAGGCACAGCAGCACAGTTTTACTACTGCCGCCACCGCCGCACCACCCAACCAACAGGAACGTGGCCGCCAGCGTCAGCCTGCTGTGTGTATGTGTGTGTGTGTGTGCTTTTAAGCGCTTTTATAAATAGAT